GCCTCCGGCAAAGGCCTTCTCTGATGCACGGGTTCAAATCCCGCCAAACGCCTCGAGCTTTTTCACAATTGGGTCAACTCAAACTTTAAGTATACAAATCACTAAACCAGACTATATGAAATTCGCAGTTCCAATGCCAAAAAGCATATTAGACCGTTTTAAAGCTCTGCCTGGTTTTATAGAAGTATTTATCTTTTTCCGAAATGCGTATTTTGTAGTCAATCACAATCATTGATCCGATGAAATATTCAATATGGGAACACCTCATAATGGTAGGCGCATAACCGTAGCATACTCTGTCTGTGCGCCGTATAGAGACTACGTTTAAGGTAAAAAGTGACAGGTACTAGAACAGTAATAATGTGACAGTAGTTTAAACCAGTCCAGCTAAAGGGAACTTGCTAGCTACTCTATACTTACCTCGAATAAACTTAATTTAACGCTTTAAAGATAACGTAAAGTCACTTACCAATACAATGCTAGGTTGGAAGCCTTAACCAGCACTTAAGTGCGGGGGGGGGGTTCAGTGAAAGGTACCTCCGGTCAACGCGCTAGCTAGTCTTTAAAGCCCACAGTCTTAGCCAATGAAACCACTTCCATTTCTAGTAAAGTATATTAAACGTGACACTATCTGGTAGAAGGCAAACCAGTCCTCTGCCCATCAACTGTTTTACAAAAAAGTTGGAAAGTCTACTCAAAAGTCAATCTGCTACTGTGGTGGAAAATTCAAAACACCAAATGAAAACTTTCTTCCACAAACCTTCATTTGGACAAGTAGCAAAAGTCGCGATACAGTAGTCCAGCGAGCCTAGTGCATTCCGATAGGGGACCTTTGAGTTTTCTAGCTCCTGATAGCACAGTTCCATTGAGTCGCTCGCAGAAAAGTCCTGCAGCGGTGTGGGAATCAGCCAAAGTCTGCGATGACGCATCATGAAGTTGCGCATCTTGCCAGCTTTAAGGAAAAAAGACAACGAATTAGAAGGATAGCCGATTTGCTAAAGGGTTGGAATACCCCCTGCTAATTTAGTTCATGAAGTGGCCCTTGTCTAGAACAAAGTTTAAAACAAAGTGTTAAGTGAAACTCATCAGTTGTTAGTGCCCTCTAGATCGACGGC